ATGAAATTTTCAAATCCTTTCATATTAGATAATTGCATTACACTAAACAAGGGGCTGGTCTCCATTTTCATGCAATTACAAAATCTCCCTTGGTGGGAATATAAAGCCTTTTTTAATAATCATGACCTTAGATTCAAAATATACAACTCTTTCACATAATCTAGATGACAGACCGAAAAATTTGACAAAATATCATGGGAGGTTAGACACAGAACTGGATGGCTGAATTATGTTTTACAAGATTAATCCAAAAGACAATGAACTTCAGGATGCATAAAAATTATGTCACATCTGGCTACGTGGACTCTATTCTGCTTCAATTCCAGAAAGAGAAACCACAAAGGCCAATGAGACTGACAATCATCCAATGGCAGATTAACCATCAATGAAATGTTGCAAAGGAGGGGAAGATGGATTATGAATGATTTATGCATACATGCATCAAGATATCACAAAAGGTAAGGCATGTGATAAGAAGTTATTTTGTTTATCAAAAGAGTATTCCAAGAATAGTGCATCCAAGGTTGTACAGTAAGATACAAGAAAAAGTTTAAAGGCAAAGTATAGCATTCGCAAGCAACAAAGAATAATAAAGTAACTCTGACACGAACTCACTGAATTTACACGATGATCTTCATTCATAAACCAAAGTCCAACTACTAGAAGATGCCAAAAATGCTTGTCATAAAAATCTCACTACAAGGAAAGTAAATAAGTGACATGCATACCGTAAATCTGTGGGCATCCACAGTGGGAGATCCAAGAATTAGAATAAGGAACATGAAAGGTGGCATGCTCTTAAAATGGCGTAGCAAAGAGGGTTCTAAGGTCCAATACCTAATTCGGAAAATGCTACATGATGATGGACATCCTATGGATCTTGCATAAAAAGCTATTATTTGAGCTGCCAATGATTTTATTTATTTTTCATTAGAGCAAGAAACCTAGAGAGTTTGAGCCAATCCACAGTGGCTTTCTTTTTCCTCTCTTCCTTTAGATAAATAATAAACAAAAAAATATGAAAAAAGTGTGAAATTGGCTATTTGAAGCAACCCAATTAATGAAACATCTACATAAGTTCAATTGGATATGTTGTTGTGAAAGAAATATGATGAATGAAAATAAAATTAATGGGGGCAGCCTCTACTAGACAAATAGGCCAGCCAATGGCTTTCCACATTTTACAGTGTTTTCTTGAGTTCAATTTGACCATTGAACTAGAACAATTTCAAACTACAGACAAAATGCTGCAATAGATGTCAATATTGTAAGAGCCAAACCTTTTTGGGCTCTGCTCCTTCATTATATCAGAGGCGATTTCAGAAACATATTCCTCCCAGTCCATTGGGTACTTGTTAAGGGATACCTACAACCACATGAAAAGTACACAGAAGACCATAGCCATCAGAACCTGTGCTATTCCTGCAAGGCGAATAGAAAGAAAATAACTGCTTCACACAACTGATGACCAATTAGAACTCTGGCACTTAACTGTTGAACAAGACAAGTTTCTAATGACAATATAGCTCTCCTTAAGCTCCTATTTGATTTTTCAGCTATACGAGCAGCGAATCCAGAAGGAAGTTGCAGCGCTTCCTTCTTTCCAATGAACTCCAATACCTTAACAATCTGGCACAAAAGGTTCGACATGAAATCATCAAATGAGACCTAAATTGACAGTGGAAGTCAACATACTTTATGATATCAAATTCTACAAGTTGTATGCTAGCAAATTTAACCTGGTCTTCTGTTGGCGCATTTATTCGCACATTTAGACACTGAGACCAGATTGCTTCAGTAACCCTTGAAGAACTGTTACAGCATAGTATTAGCTGGCAATAAGCACTATATTTCTCCATAGTTCTTCGAAGAGAATGCTGCGCTTCTCTTGAAAGCTTGTCAACTTCATTCAGCACTAAGACTGGCATTGCAAAGAGGACATGTTATCAGTAGATTCAAGACACAAATCGTAAAGACTAAAACGCCCAATTTGTTAATCATCCAACTGCATTTTCCTTGTTTTCTTAGTTTTTTAGAATGGGGACAAGAGAGAAAGATTCAATGCCTATTGCAAAGAACTGTGAAAAGGATGAGAAAACAAAATAAAAAAAACTATAAGATGAAAAGCAAATTATTCTAAAGAAATATTGCATCCTGTTCAAGTGAATGTACAAAAGAAATACTTCCAAACGTATACATTGGATAAGTGTATATTCATAAAAATTTGGATATTAGTTAAACTTACTTTTGTATCCTTTTTTCCCTTTTGTGTCAATGGGCCTATTTTTAACCATTTCTTTAATTATCTCTTGGACAATACATCTGTCCTGAAAGCCTGCATCACTGGGGTTCAGTTCAATATGGTTTGTGCTTGACATTGTAGTCAGCTCTATATCAATGGTCCTACTCCCAGCCTATAATAAATCATAGGAAAAAAAAAATATAGTTAAAATGGAATACAAGAAAAATCAAATGAAGCAAGTGAAGGATTTAATCAAATACCGGTTATAAGGAGATAAAAAACAATAGAACAATAGTTTTAGGTTGAACAAGGAGATATTCAAAGGAAAATAATCTTTCATAAATCTGGAAATAAGGTGAGCGTTAAAAGATTTATAAATTGGTTAATGTACTATGCTCAACAAAGGTTGGAGACGTCAGTGTCCTTCTGCCATATCATGTAAGAGATTTAAAATATATCCTAAAGCTCCAATCTTTGGAGGTTTTTTCTATAAAAATAAAAGTAAGCACCTAATTTCATTTCAAGAAGCTAACAAATAGAGGTAAGAAAAACCAATCCATGCCTTCTGAACAAGGAAATGAGAAATGAATCATAAAGAGGAGAAAGTTGAATTTGAATGCATAATTAATTAATTATTCAGATATGCAATCGGAATTTAACACAGCTTTTCACCTAAATGACAGATAAGCAATAATTTTTACAGAAGTTGCAACAATGATCAATCCCATCAATCAAAAGAAGGTGAAGCTTACATCAACTTTCCATGTCCTATTTTCCACCTTCACCTGCCAACCACAATCACAAAATTTCTCAAACGCCAACAAACAAAATTTCAAATAGAAGAAAACATCATTCTTCTTCCATAAAATGCCCGTTTAATTATGGTGATAGATTTACGTATATGATAGAACTTTAAGTGGGGTACTTTATCAACTAAAGAGCTATTCCACTCCTTACAAGCAAACAGTAGTTTCTATGTGTTGGCTTAAACGGACGAACTGCTCATTACTGGAACCGCAAAGACAAAAAAGATGCAAACTTTTCGGATTGTGATTGACTTGTAAGGAGGAATCCATCCTTGCATGTTTAAGAGCTAAGCATTTTTTTCATCTAATTCTTTTCGTTATAGCTCTGTAATCCATTTTCTACCAAAACAAACCATATAAAGGTGGAAAGAAGTCCCAAAAGAAAAAGATCAATAATTTGAATCCCAAACGGTCAAAACAAATAAACGGGAAAATGTATGAGAAAATTGGGACCTTATCGGCGCTGGGACCGAAAACCTGACGGAGGAGGGCGATGATGAGGGTTTTCTTGCCGGAGCCGGAAGGGCCATAAAAAAGCAAATGGGGGCAATCTTGCTCTGCAACCTGCACAAGAAGAAGTTAGGGTTATGAAATGGTAGAAATTGGGAATTGAAATCGACGAGGGAGGGGTAGAGTTGCACGAGTTTCTTGAGGTTTTGGGCGATGTCTTGGTGGACAATTGCCTGGTCTAGGGTTTTGGGTCGGTACTTGTCTACCCACAGCACCATCTTCTTCAGTCTTCACTGCCGTCACTTGGAGAAATCAGGCAAGGACAAAGTAAGAAAATCACCGGAGGACAAAAGTGGCGCGAAATTCCACTCTCTGTGTGGGGCCTAATCTGGGGCATCTATTTTATTATAGCCGTTGGATTCATCCGACGGCAAATACAGTGTAGATTAATCGTTTTATTATATTAAAGGTTCCTCAACTAATTTGGAGAATTTAATTGAAGTAATAGCTTTTTAACTAAAAATTCATCACCATTTGGTCCCTTAATTCTTTAAAACGTGCAGCTATACTCATTTTCATCAATTTCGTTAGAATTTTCATCAAAATGAGTCACGTGTCACACATGTGATGCTAAATAAATGGGGAAATATGGAAAACGAAATGAGAAAAATTGTAGCAATGATCCTTCAACTTTATTCCAATTGAAGGAATAGTCCCTCAACTTTGGCCTAATTGGAGCAATGATCTCTCAACTTTAATCCAATTGTAGCAATGGTAATTCCAATCCAACATGATTCATTTTAACGGAATTTTGACTGAGTTGACGAAAAGACTATAACTATGCGTTTTGATGAATTAAGGGACCAATGATTATGAATTTTTATTTAAATGATCATCGCTCTAATTGCATTAAAGTTAAGGAATCATTTCTACAATTTTTTGAAGAACAATATTTAGCTACTCAAAGATGAAGAAACTCCTACTCAAAATTCTTAATATTTTAATCACATAACTTTGTACTTATGATCAGAACCGTTCATACTATAAATCACACTGTAAAGATCATTTATGCAAAAAAAATAAATTAAAACTAAAGTCGTTTAATCAATCTATTATAGCAAATACATAAATGGTTCGTAATGCTTTTATCAATATCTATCATTTGTTTTTAAACAGTTTGATGACTAAACGACTATAGTTTTAATTGATTTTTTGCAGATACGATCTTTATAAGGTGATTTATAATATGAACGGTTATAATTATAAACACAAAATTGTATAAATTTGACAACGAACAATTTTAGGAAATTTTGAGCAAGAGTTTGTAGTCATATTTGAGTAATCATGTATTGTTGTTTTTGAAAGGATAAATAGTAGCTTAATTGTAATTTCCAAGGACAAAACCAAAGATTGACCGAAAGTCAACAAGGTGAAATTTTCCAGCGTTAGGCGCGGGAGAAAGAGAATAAGACAGAGAGTGGGTCAGGTGAACCTTTTTTTCAAACAAAAGGTGCATCCAGAGAGAGAGAGTCAGAGAGAGAGAGAGAGAGAGAGTCAGAGAGGGCGGGAGGAGGTCGATCTGAAGCGGAAGAAAATCTTTGCCGGTGAAAACTAAATCACTTGCTATGCTCTGTTTGTGGTGCCAAAATCATATCTAGAGTTGCGGGCCTCTGATTTACAGTGGTTGCTCTGAAACTGTTGTTTACAGAATCACCAGGAAGTAAAGTGACGGAGCTGAAAAGGAGCTACAGAGGGGCTAATCTTCTGTAAGGGATTCAAATTTTGTTAGTTTATGTTCAAATTAGGGCTTAATTTTGCTAATTAGAGTTGCATTTGGGTTAATTAGCATTACAAAAGCACAAATAGGGTTAAAATTTTAGAGCTTTCTTCTTCCGAAGTTTTTCGATTTCAGCTTGTTGGAAGTGGCACAATTATTTCGGATGTTTAGTTAATTTTATCGATTTTTCGTCCTTGTTTCGAGTTTAATCATTTCTTCATTTTAGTTTTTGTACTCATTTTTGCTAGGACTGCTCAAGAATCTGGAATTGATTGAAACCCTAATGATGTGCCCTTAAACGAGATCATTGTTCTTACAATTTTCTGATGTAGATTGATGGCGAACAATGGGAATGAGGATTTTTATTACAACCTCTCAAGGAAAGAGCTTCAAACATTGTGCAAAAGATATGGCTTGCCTGCAAATAAATCGCACTCGGATTTGGCAATGTCTCTGATTGCTTACTTACAGGTACATTTTTCAGGCTAATGATATCCTACTATCATTCGATTTAAGAATACGTTATGGACTATAACATTTTCATGATGTCCTCCCATTTCTCATGGGAATGCTCCTATTTCTCGATAATTAATGAGGTGGGAGCTTGAGCTGGCCAATCATGGTGCTTATGAAGCTTGGCGAACAATTTGCTTCAAATGGGAATTTACAAACCGTTAAATGCAGTTTACAGGGTTAACTGAAAGCAAAAAATAATGCGACGTTTCAATTCTCATCATTTTTTTTAGAGACATAAATCGGAACACTTTCCAACTGTACCCATGTTTTTATGCTTATTGTTGGATCTGTTATTATTTGTAGTCTCTCCTTGTATAGTCCATGTTTCAGCTAATTGTGAGTGCTGCATGAATGGAGTGCTCCAGTATTTTCACATCACACTTACAAAAGATGACATTCAAAGATTTTAGCCTACTCAAATTTCACATAAGCATACGAAAGATGACAGAAAACTTGGACTCTTAAGCCACCTCCAGTCATGGAGGGCTAAACGTAGCCCTTGGCTATGTTTCTGCCCTCCAAAAATTAATATTTTAGAGACTACTTACTTTAGGGCTAAATTTTTCCATCTCCAACCATGCAGGGCTATATTTTATACCCTTCATATTTTATTACTTTTTGGGGCCAAACTTAGCCTGCCCTGGGGTTCCATGTTGCCTGCCCTGGGGCCAAACTTAGCCTAATTCCCTTTAGCCCTATGGTTGGAGACTGATTTTGTCAATTTTAGGGCTAAATGTACAAAAGCCCTCACTGCTCTCACCCATATCTAAACCAATTCTTCTATTTAGAAGAGTGAGATCAATGTTATCAAAACAACCAACAATATCTGCTTTGAAAAATCGATCGTGGCCTATAGCCCTTGGCTGGAGATGGCCTTAGGGCTTGGACTTGATTATATGATAAATATCTTGAATTTCAAAGGATTGAATGATTTCTCAGGAAATTCTTCTTATGTCTTACAGGAGGGTTTTGGTGGTCCAATGTATAATCTCTGGGGGAATTTTTATGCTCAATGCAATGGGAATGGTCTTAGCCATAACGAGTACCCAAGAAAATACTCAGTTGACGATTCTTTGGGTTTGGCAAGAGATAGAACCATGGAAAATGTGCCTGAAACTGAAAGTAGGGAGATAAATTTCAGTGCATACCCTGCTCAAACTGCTGTTGATTGTTCCGTGGAAACTCCTACACAAGTTCCTTCCTCTTCTTTTGAGTTTCATGTTAGGTCAGAAGAGGGGATTAATCTTTATGTTGACTTCAATTCGAGCCTATCTGAGTGGACCAAGAGGTTCAAAAGTGAGGTTTGCACATGTCAAAATGTGCACAGAAACAAGTCTATGAGTCTTTATGAGGACCTTGGGTGCATTGGAAAAGGTGATAAAGAAAAGAGAAGTTCCTTCATACAGAACATAAATTATGGGTACATTGAAGATAAAGAACCGACAAAAAGTGACAATGTGGGCCTTGATCATTCTGTTAAACTAGCTGAAACTTCAGTAACCTCAGCAGTAAGATCGTGCAACATGGCTGCAGACGTGTCAGAGCATTTGGTGGAAGATCAAGCACTTGTCTCATCTAAACTTGACTCGGCTCCACTGAAGCAGATAATTTCTGGTGCTCATTCCTTTGCTATAGATGGCTCTTTAATCAAGCTTGATTCAAATGTCCTTAATAATTTCCAGAAGTCCATCTGTGCTCCTGCTGTCAACTCGTTATCAAAAGGTCAATTAAGTCCTGTCATAATGGAGCATCAAAATTCAAACCTCAATAATTGTCTGAATCCAACCCTGCAGAATAATTATAGCCCTGTCAACCTTAGTGTGGTATATCCTGGATGCTCAGCTAGTGCTTCTATAGAGATGCAGTCATCAGAGGTTGTGAGGTGCTCCAAAGACATATCATGTTCACCTTGTGGAAATGGAGGATTGGTGGGTCTGTTCGTACAAAAGGACAATTTAGAAACAGAACTTGGAATAATCAGCTCATGTGAGCAGGTTCCTGATCTGCTGGGGAACTACGTGCCAAAATCTGCTGAAGCGTGGGTATGGTCCTGTTTCCACCATCTGTCACATGATTGCGGGTGTACTGAAAAAATAATGCATGGTCATATTTATTGATACCATAGACTTCTACATTTTGTTTTTTTATTGATGTTGTAGTAAAATGTTTGTGATTCTTTTTAGATGTTTATGTACTTTACTGTTGTTTTCGTTTTATTTGTTCTTTGTTTTCAAAATTCTCACATTGCGGTGAAGTTCAAGATAAACTACAGTAGATTATAAAGTTGTACGTATGTACTGGACCCCTATACTTCAAATTGAATATTGTGTTGAGGGTAAAAAAGAAAGATAGTATCCTTATGCTTTAACTTAACTGATAAAAGAGTATGTTGTGGTTACCTAAGAGTGTTTAGTCTAATGGTCAGGCCCTTGGTTTGTTACCAAGAGGTCTGGGGTTCGACACCTCTCAAGGTACCCACCTAGCAATTGCTAGAGTTTCTTGCCTACCAAATGTTGTGGGGTCAGGCGGGTGGCCTAGTGAGTAGTCGGGTCAAAGACCCGGAGACACTAGTTTCAAAAAAAAAAAAAAAAAAAAAAAAAAAAAAAAGAGTATGTTGTGGTTGGAGATTCTTTGTGTTTGGATGGCACATAAAGTTATTACCTCTTCAAGATTTCTATTTATACAACAGATTTTATTTATTTCATGCCCTCTGCTGTTTTACTGCAATTTTTTTCCTACTGTGAGGAACAAATTGAATGTTTATTCAAGATTTGTTATTTGTATTTTCTATCTGATGATGGCAATGGACTGCATGTATGGTTTTGTTCTGCCATATATTGATGTCTTTTTCTATATGAATAATTGAATATCATGAAATGCCAGCATTTTCCATATTTTGATGGTTTTTAATATTAATTTGCAATCCTCTGTGCTAATAGTTTTTTCTTTTCAACTGTAGAGACATTTGCTTAAATTAAAACAATTTGGTTGTTGATTGGCAATCTAACTCTCTGTTCAGTTTTATTTGACATGAACAGTTAATAAAATTTCTAAGAATCCAAAGTTTGTTTTATCTCTTGCATATCCTCTTTTTGTTCTATTTAAATATATTGCTTCCGCATAATGCACACGTGGAAAACAAAATCATTAGGTAACCATGGTTTTGATGATTAAAATAATTTCTTTCAAAGATTAAACAACAAAGTCTTATTTCTGCTCCTTGTATTCTAGTGTAGGTGTTTGCTTGCATGAACACGGATGAATGTATACGGGTTTGTTTTGTGCTCATAAATTTCAGTCACGTTATAGATTTGGAATAACATACTACCTTTTTCAGGAGAGGAACAACATCACAAATGGGAGGGATAGTCCAGAGTAAGCTCTCTTTAAACCAAAAGTTCTTGTTAATTATAATATACAACTGTCTTAGCTTCTATACCTTGTCCCACCTTGCAGATGCTCACAGTTAACCAGTTCAGTTGAGAAGAACAGTTTCTGTTACGATAATTTGGAATCTAATGAAGAACTTTCCAGAAAGAGGAAACATATAGAAGGTGAACTTCAAAGTGGCTATGGTAATCCGGATGCAAAGAATTTAACAAGTAGGAAGCATATTACTAGGAAAGTCCTTCCTAGAAGATCCGTGCGGCTGATCTCTAAGGTTTTCTGAAGTATCTTTTAACCATGTGATTGATAGTGGTGTTCTGATACCATGATAGGTTTTTGAATTCATTTTTTTGGCGTGAGTACGGATATAAAATCATTTATATTAGGTGATATAGCCGTTATGTGATCACAGAAAGTTTAGAACGATTAAAAATGCCTTTGAATTTGTATTATTTAGCCTCCTAGGAGCATTTTTCTTCACTATACACTTTTACTTTTATTTGAAACATGATGCACCTTTCTTTTTGCTTGTTTTTTAACATTTGGGAAGGCCTCTTCTTTGTGTAATTTTTTTTTCTGATAACGTTCTTATTATCAAAGAAAATCTTATTCTAATCACATAATGAATGATTTCATCCACTTGCTTTCGGAATGCTTCTTACTATCTAAACAAAGTTAGGTTTTGATGTATTACACATGAAATGATGCACAAACTCCTGACTTGTGCATTAACTTTCTAATTTTTGCCCATTTGCGCACATATAGTTGTTAATGGCCTTTTGCAAATGCAATCACCAAACAGAGAAAAAAGGAGAGAACTTTGACTTCCTAGCTTTATCATGCTTTGCCATACGAGGTCAATTTTGATTCTTAAATTAGCCTAGCAAAAGGAAAGGTTTCATGCCATTTAATGCCCCATGCCTTAAGAAATCTGGGACATTCTTATTGTGCAACTGATTTAGGGCTTCACATTTTGCATGATATTCTTGGCTCAAATGTAGCTTAAAAACCTGGGCGGCTATGTATCCAATCTAGGGCTTCACAATTTGTTGTATGATCCTCCAGTTAACCTGGGCGGCTATATAGCCGACCCCACTTAGTGGGAAAAGGCTTTGTTGTTGTTGTTGTATCCTCCGGTTAACGTCCTATGCCTTAAGAAAACTTAGTACAAGGCTTAGTATTTGGGTCTATCAATTTTAACCCTTGAATTTAGTGATATAACTTTTGCTTGTTAATTCTTAAACTAGCATTCTGCATTTATTGAAATTTTTTTCTCACCTTTTTATTGTCCTTTTCATTCTTCTCCTTCCACCTTTTTTTTTTCGGATTTGATTTTTCGCCTTCCGCTTTGAAGAGTCTTCAATGTGTGTCAATTTTACTGGGAAATCGGTATGATTCATATCCAAGATGAAATATGATGACCTGGAAAATTCTGTATATCTCTATTATTGACACAAATTCGAGCCAGAAGTTTACCAATTCATTGGCACACTAATAAATTCATCCACATGGGATGTTAGACTTGTTGAGCACTCTCTCTCTTCTACACCCCATTGTTTGGATAATCAGTATCTTGAGTAATCCACATCGTATGTGTAGTATAATTATCATTGTACATTCGTTAACTGTCTGCCTTTCTGATCCAGTGAGCTCGTGAAGTGCATATGGCCCAAGGGTTGAAGCATCGATAGCGTATACCATTGTTCCAAATGAGAATGAATATGGTAAGATTGGAGCATTACATGATCTCTGTTTAGAAAAACATAAGGTGTTTCTAGATCTCATAATGCAGTGAGCCTCTCTTTTGTTTTATTTTTAGCGCGGTTCACACACACACAAACATGCATACAGATGTACATACATAATGCATAAATAAAGTTCCTAGTTTACAGGGTACCGATTTGACTCCCCATCAAAAGGGATACACGTTTATAAGGTCTACACACACACGTACATACATAGAAGTTTTATGCGTGCTATATGGAACGATTTTAACTTCCTCATTGCATTTGAGTTGGTCAATTAAAGTGGCAATTAGGTGATTCTGAACTTAACCTGCCACAATCCAAGAAGTTCGGTGGCTAGTTATGGGGTGCCATTATAAGAATTATAGAGAAATATCATTCTTCACTTTTCTTTTCATGCATATTATATGATGCAGAGACTTCACCTCTTAAATGGATGGTCTAGAACGTGGCGGAAGAAATTCAATATCCATGACATTTTCAAATTTGTACTCCCGCCTATCCGTTGAATGTCTAGTACAAACTCATTATTTTATTCTGCTGCATGAACCTCGAGAGAATGGCTTGTAACTTTGATTTGATGATGAGATACTTGCCAAAATCGATATGTTAGAAAAATTGAAAGGTATGTTTATATTATTGGTAATGTCGGTATGCTGCAGGTGGTTGTATTTTCAGGAGCATTGGCAACATATTAAAGCTAAGGGATAGTTCTTCAAGGTGTTGGGTGATCACAAAGCATATAACAAAGTCTGTACATATCAACACGGGGTAATTCATATTATTTTGTTTCTGTATCATTTATGGGTACTCATTTTTGTTAAAAGCTGTTACATATGTATATTTATTGGGGTTAATTTCCGTTTATTCTGTTATCTTTATCCATGTTTTCATGATCATTTATATGCATATTGCACATGAATATTGTGGACCAAACATGTGTTCATTGTCTTAGTCTTGCTTAGCCTTCTTTGTTTGAGACGAGTCGATGAATATGTAAGAACTGAGAATTAAAATGCAATTAAATTTCAGTTGGTTTTTATTTTCTAATTTAAAACTTGGGGTTAAATTATATTATTTGTTACATTGTGATGTGCAACAAAACTAAGCGTTATGACATTCTAGGGTTCATATAGCCGACCTCACTTACTGGGAGTAGGCTTTGTTGTTGTTGTTACATTGTGCTATGTGCAAGTTATGTGACTACATTTTGTGTCAAATTGCCACATAAAACCCTTTTTTGGTTGCCAAATTGCCTCAAACTCGTATCCGAGCTTTGGGGAGAATTTGGGAGTTTTGTATTTATACTTCTTTTTTCTGCCGGAAAATGTTCTTCATTTAAGGGAACAAAACTTGTAGTTAGTCCGATAAAACAACTAGGTATTTAATCTTGTTTGAGATTAAAATCCTTAGAGGATGATATTCATATCTATAGCCTTTGATTTTATTATCATAAAATGAAAGTGAAATTTGGAGCGTTGATCATGTGCTTTGGTTCAATTGGAGCTTGCTTCTCAAAGTTTTTCAAATTGCTCTATATTATGATGCGCTCAGAGACCAATATTCAAGAATTTTTTATTCAATGACCAAAGATCGAAATGTAGGAAATTTCAATGTCTAATACTCCAAATTCCTCTCCATTGATTTAGGGCTTCACGGTTGTTGTGCGATCCTCCAATAAATGCTCCATGCCCTGGGAAGACTAGACACAGTTTAGTGTTTGGGTCTATCAATGTTAACCCTTGAAGTTTGGGGACATAACTTTTGCTTGTTAATTCCCTTAAACTAGCATTCGGCATTATATTGAAGAAAAAAAATTCACCATTTCAGGGTTGTGGAGCTTTTTTTTTTTTTTTTTTAACTTATTAAAAAAATATGGTGCACCAAATGTGTATGGTAAAACAAAACAAAAAAGGTTTTTTTTTTTTTTTTTAATTATTGTTAATGATCATTCAGTACTACGGTCTAATGATATTTTTCTTCACTTAGAAGTGAGACGTCTTAGATTCGAATCTTGTGGATGGTGAATTCGATACCAACTTAGGTTGCTCATTGTGTGGCTTAGTCGAACTTCATCTCTCCTTAGTATAAAATATTGATCTACACAAAAAATATATATATATTGTCAATGACAGTAGAAAATCATAGAAAAGCAGAAGCAGGGTCTACCAAGCTTCTATTTTTTTATTATTATTATTTTTAAAGCATAGTGAACAATGCCTATTTAATAAAATTTTCAAATGATAAGTATACCTCCACATCTTTTAATCTTTACCTTTACATTATTTTCTTTAACAACTATTAGATCGCATCAATACTATATCATTTTTCATCATTGAACATTTATATAAAAGTTTTCTAATTACTCAGACACTGTTTTTTATTTTGTTAAAAGCACTTTTACAAAAAAAAATTACTAAACACTGAACAATTTTATTTTAGAACTATTTATTCTCGTAACATAACATATATTTTTTATAAAAAAGCATAGCAACACCAAACAAACCCTTAATGTCCTTTCTCATTCTTCTCCTTCCACGGTTATATTTTTTGGATTTGATTCTTCGCCTTCCGCTTCGAATTATGAACCTTCAATGTGTGTCAATTTTACTAGGAAATCAGCTTTATTCATATCCACGTTTTACTTTTGCTTTATTGCAATGGTGGTAAGTAATTATGTCTATGTACTATGATGCGGGTATAAAATATCGATGATATCGGAAATATCGGTAGTCTAAGAATACGGAAATTTCGATAGAAATATCGGGATATTATCGATATTGATAAAAATTGAATAAAAACCACGGAAATTGTAAGAAAAACTTGGAAATTTTTATTGAAACTTTGCAGGATGTTTATTTAGTCAATTATCTATTAGTTTATCACAAAAAATTGGAAGGAAATGCATTGCATGATAGATATAACTGATTTAAGTTGATTATATAGCGAGCTGGCAAACATTGTGAGTGTAGAAAATATGTAGTAATTAATGAAAGAAGTTTAAACACACCATAATCATTTATATATAATGAATTAGTACAATAGTTTACACTTTATACATTGCATGGTAAGATACATGAGTGACTTAGCAAGGTCTAAAATATCGATGATATCGGAAATATCGGTAGTCCAAAAACACGGAAATTTCGATGGAAATATCGGGATATTATGGATATTTTAGACCATGGATGCGGGTTGCATTCCCACCAATCCCCTCCTCCTCCTGACAACTAACAATTTAACCCACTAGCCATATCGTTCTCAAATAATAAATAAATAAATAAAACAAATAAAATTTTGAAAAAGCCACAAATGCTTAGTTGAAAAAAAATATTGGAGGAAAGGTGGATCCTTCTTATGCCAAATAAACTACTTCTGGAATGAAAAATCGAATCTAAATGTTCTACATTAACAATAGTCTGAAAATTATCATTTAAGTACATGATGGGATTGAAATCCTAGAGCACGAAATTAATGGAACAGAAAATCTCGTTCCTAAATGGGTAGCGAATCATGTTGAATTATAGGTCAAGCAACCCTTAATTAGCCCAAAAAAATAAAAAAAATAAAAAATCGAAACACCATAAGAAGGTGTGTAGTTGGCTGTTCAAATGGCCATCAAACAATCAAAATATGGAGTTTTCGAAGACCCACTTGTTTGTTACTTGCCTTCTCTTTCTATCTTCTTCTTGTTTTGGCGATCAAGGATCCCCAAACAAGTCCATCAAACTTGCTGAGCAACATCGACTCTTGAAGTATTGGATCAAGAGGCAGGTTCCTACCGGTCCAGATGCTAAACCTAGCAGCGTCCAACTGCCTGTAGAAGTGTTGGATGATCCTGCAAATTATGAATCAAAGAGGCAGGTTCCTACCGGTCCAAATCCTCTACATCACTTCGTCAAACCGCCTGTAGAAGTGGTGGATGATCCTGCAAATTACGAATCAAAATCAAAGAGGCAGGTTCCTACCGGTCCAAATCCTCTACATAACTTCGTCCAACCGCCTGTAGAAGTGTTGGATGATCCTGCAAATTATGAATTAAAGAGGCAGGTTCCTAGCAGTCCAGATCCTAAACATGGCTTCGTCCAACCGCCTGTAGAAGTGTTGGATGAACTTCCAAATTATGATCTTAATATGAGGCTTGTGCCTTCTGGGCATGAAGAGTCTCCTGAAGAGCCCCCTTCCAAGGTATATACTCCGCCACCACCATCTTCACGTGCAAATTATGATCTTATGAGGCTTGTACC